TTTTACTGCTCTTCTCGCAACCACGGTTCGAGCTAGAACACCTGTCTCAGAAAACGAGAACAAAAACAAAACTTGCATTTTGATGGCAGGTAAACGGGTTTGTTCTAAGGTTGCGCGTGGCGAAAGGAAGGTGAAACCGCTTTAAGGGAATCGGTGGCCGCCGTCCTGTGCTTTGCGCTCAAGGGCTGCGGGTTCTCTCTGTCTCTAGCCTCAATTTCCTTACTGTTGCCTAATTTTCTGGAATACTTCAAAGATTAAACATAGGCAGGTCTAACCAAACCAGACATTATATTTATTTATTTGCCAAATTTACTTCAAATCCTACAAACAAACAAACAAAGCTTAAAAAATTTTGGAGGTGCTGAGAGTTCTCCCCCTCCTTACCTGGAGATAGCCACTGTGTTCAGGTTTGTGTGTGTCATTTCCTTGCACAATTTACAATTTGGTAATGGTGAAAACATAAACAATACGTGGTATTGGTTTTTAAAGTGATGGAATGGTGTCTTTTTGCAACTTGCTTTTTCACCCAGCATCACATTTTGAGATTTATATATACAAATGAATAAATGGAACACTTGTACTGTCTTTGAATGATTATAATTGTTGGTGTAGCACTGCACTGTATGAATATACCATAATTTATAGTCTCTTGATGGATTTTGGAGTTGTTCATAGTCTTTATCCTTTAAAGCTGTCCTGCAGTAACTGTATTTGTACGTGTTGGTTGTGCACACTTTTGGAGTCCTAGTCACAGTCTTGCTGGGTGGTAGGATGATATGTGCATCTACCACTTAAGATAGAGACTCGGTTATTGTACCAGTTTTCACGATCACTGATACTGAGAACACCCATTTCCTCTCATGCTTGCTAACAAACTACATTTTCCCCCCTTCTCTTTACTGACCATCTTCATGACTTTAGCTTACTGCTAAATTTGCTTACTGCCCAGCCTATGTCTAGCTATGTGATAGCAAATGGGTTACTCTCTCACAGCTAATTGGTTTGGTCTTTATTGAGTTTGGTCTTCATAATATTAATTCCAACGAATGTTTGTTATGTTATCTAATGTTGCTATGGTTGATGTGAAGATAGAATTTCAAGGTATGCTAAATGTACCTCTCTAGCACCAAGTGAGCTGATTTGATTAAAAGCATTTTAAAGATGTGACGTTTTTCTTTAAATCCTTCCCTCCTGGACGAAGTCGTTGGTACATTCAGAATACACGTAACATACATACAAGCTGTGAAGTAAAACCAATGAACACCTCCAGATCTACCAGTGGATCCTTGCAAGAGTCAACCTAACCAACATCGAAGGTGCTCACTTTCAGGAGGCGTTATGCTGAACTCATGCTATTCCTGTATTTTAAATACTTTAATCAGATTTTTGTGTATCATTCAATACTGCATTGTATATACGGTTTTTATGTGTGAGTAAAAAAAACATGATGGGTGTAGTCTTTGGGAACTTGGATTCACTCAATGCTGTATTTCTAAGTTAGTAACATTCAGTACAGATGTAAGTAATTCTTTACTGCTTGTGTAATACTGGGTGAATATAGTGCACTTTATGCATTTTCCTGTTGGTAGGCATTTCGATTGTTCTGTTTTGCATAGGAAAAGTAAACAGCACACCCACTTGGAAGAGCTATGGTATAGCTTCAAGTAGGAAAGCAGAAATAACTTGAAATGCTATCTGCAGTGCAGAAAAGCCTCTGAATCCCAGCACGCCCTCTCTCCACTTCTTCAGGAAATCGGTATCACTTCTTTCTTCTGTTAATTATCAGTGGTTGATAATAACTTTTATCCTACTCAACTGTATGGTACAAGTAGCTATAATGTCTAAGACACTTTGACACCTATTTTCTTTGCACCATGGTACATGTATGGAGGACAGCTTGAAGTCCTTTCCTTCTGCCCTGTGGGTCTGGGCGAGTGAACTCTGGTGTTTAGGGTTGGTGGCAAGTGCCCCTACCCACTGAGTTATGTTGCTGGCCCAGTGACGTGTTTAGAGCCATCACGGTTTGGCTTTAAAATGCCTTTATATTTTACTGTAGAAATTACCCTAACTACATTTTCCCCCCTTCTCATTACATCTAACTCAGTGCTGAACCGTTTTAGGCATCACAGCAGCGTGTGGGAAGCACATGATTTTAAAAAGCACTTTTGGTGCTTTGTGGACAGAACATAGGTTGGAGTACGCAGCATCGTAAGCCACCGTTTGCTGGAGTGGAATTGCGGGTCTTTAACAGAAGGATTGCAGGTTGGTTTTGAAGCGACTGTGCCAGCTGGTATTTTTGGTACCGTGCATACTTATGACAGCATTCTGTGAGAGTTACAGTTAACCTGGAACCTCTCCAACACTCATCTTAGATTTCTTGTATTTGCCAGTAGTTGGACGTGGTGCATCAGTGAGGTTTAAATTTGCATTTATTAATGAGATTGAGAATCTTTTCATATGTATCAGGTGTTTCCTTTGTGAGAAAAGCGTGGCCATGTTTTTTCCCCCAGTTTTAAAAAGTACTGAATTGTCTTTTAAAGCTGAGAAGTGGGTAGCTTTTTATTTTTATTTATTTATTTTCTATTATTATTATTATTATTGTTGTTAATTCAAGTTAGGGAACAGGCTTGTTTCACATGTAATTCCCCTCTCCCTCCCCTCCCCCCCATTCCTTCTCCCCCATATTTATTTATTTTTTATTATTTATTTACTTATTTATTTATTTTTTGTTTTTTGAAGACAGGGTTTCTCTGTGTAGCTTTGGAGCTATCCTGGCACTCGCTCTGGAGACCAGGTTGGCCTTGAACTCACAGAGATCTGCCTGCCTCTGCCTCACCAGTGCTGGGATTAAAGGCGTGCGCCACCAACACCCGGCTATTTTTATTTATTTTTAATGTGCATTGAAAAAACCCAGAGCCTCATGTATCCGACAAAAATTTTCTACCATTAAACTACATCCTAGATCCCAATTCTTAGTTTTAATGTAACCTAATTGGACGGGCCCTTTGCTCTGTGTTCCTTTTTAGGCGTTTTTAAATGATGCCTTCCTTCTGAAACCCTTGCTCCATCTGCAGTCAGTTTTTGTGAATGGTGTGAGTTAGTGACCCACACTCATTTCATCTCTGGCTCCTCCTCTCCGGTCTGTGTATTGAATTTGCTTCTGCAGAGTCACACTGCCTCACTGGCCTGCCGAGTTTCTCAGTATTAATCTGTCTCTGGGTTGTCATTCTGTATTTCTTGTCATCTGATTTCTGTCTGTGTTTATATCTGCACTCTCTTAGTTACTGTCACTGTAGCTTTGCCTGAAATGTTTTTTGTTCTTTGGACGCAGGCTGGCCTTAAACTCAGTGAGTGCTGGGATTACATGCATGCAGATCGTAACTGGCTAAAACTTTGCAATTTCTTTCTTTCTTTCTTTCTTTCTTTCTTTCTTTCTTTCTTTTTGGTTTTTCGAGATAGGGTTTCTCTGTGTCTTTGGAGGCTGTCCTGGCACTCACTCTGGAGACCAGGCTGGTCTCGAACTCACAGAGATCCGCCTGTCTCTGCCACCTGAGTGCCGGAACTAAAGGCGTGCACCGCCAACGTCCGGCTTAAAACTTTGCAATTTCTAAACTTGTTAAATTATTCTGAGCCTTTGAGTCGGGCGCAGTGCCAGGGAGCTAGCTTCTTAGCCCCTCAGTGACTTTCATGCCCCGAGACTCTTGAGACTCACCTGTTGGTGGACCTTTGACCTTTAAGAATCAGTCATGAAGAGTCTTATGTGGCTTAATTGAATCAATCCAGTTAGTTTTGTGAACAATTGAAATTGGTTGCTGTTATAGATAATACCCCCAAGATTCCATTTGCTGAGAGTAATCAGTAAATAAAAATTTATAGCATATTTAAGATACTGCTGTTAAAACTATCTTCTTTGTATTTTATTTTTCATATTGTGGAAATCCATTGGATTTCCAGTCCTTTGCGATGGTGATGTTTATTTTTTTCTCTTTCTAATTACTTTCCATTTCACTCTCTCTCTCTCTCTCTCTCTCTCTCGTGTGTTGTGTGTGTGTGTGTATTCTGGCATATTTTCACATTTGTGTTCAGTGGAACTAGTTATGTCGTTCATTAGAGGTGATTGTAGTGCACACATATAGGTCTCATCCCCAATTTTGAAGGAACTGTTTCTCGTTAACAATAGCATTTGTTGAGAGGTTTTGTAATAGCTATATCATGTTAGGAAAGGGTTTGCCATTTTTCACATGCTTTTCTGTATTTGTTGAGATTTTGTTTCGTTTTTTCCCAGTCCATTATGCATAATAAATTTTACAAATTATGTTTTTTTTTTAAAAAATTATTTTATATGTATGGTTTTGCTTGCGTGTCTGGTGCCCACAGAGACCAGAAGAGGGTGTTGGGTCCCCTGGAACTAGAGTTGTACGCAGTGGTGAGCCACCGTGTGGGTGCTGGGAAGTGAACCCAGGTCCTTAGCAAGAGCACGAAGTACGCCGTCCTGCAGAGCCATCTCTCCAGGCCTCCAGATTTATGGACTTTAATTACATGTTTTTAGTTCTTTCTGGAGATAGAGCCAAATTGGCCTTAAGATTTTCTTTTTAATGTAATGTTTTATTTAGGATTTGGTACCTTTCTATAAACAGGACCTGCCCCCTCCTTTTTGAGACAGAGTCTCACTGTCTGGCCCTGACTGGCCTAGAACTCTTGATACAGGTCAGGGTGGCCTCAACTCAAGAGATCCACTCGCCTCTGCTTCTTGAGTGCTGGGAGCAGAGGTGTGCTCCTCCACACTCGGCCAGCCTCTCATGCTTCTTTTTTGACCGAGTGATTTTGGTATTAAAGTTGCAACAACCTACTAAGTGAGTTACTGAGTAGTTTGGATTGGAGCTATCAGTTCATTAAAATTTTGATGGAATTTACTTAGGTCTATTTTTTTAGAAATTTGTTTATCCATCAAAAATTTTAAGTTTATTAGTACAAATTCGTGGTAATTAAGTAATTACCCGAGTCTTCTCATGTCTCTTTAGAGTGTCAGACTAGAGTCAAGCTGACCAGGGTTATCATTTGACCAAGCTGATACTTACATGGCAGCAGTTATTGGATAGTAGTTAGGAGAATATTATTAACCCAGGACTTGTTAATAGTCCCAACAGTTTTTCTTGTTATGTATGCTGAGACTCCTTTAGTAGGTGCAGGCAAGCCCTGCTGTTGACCATCCTTAAATTTGCAGATGACCTTGCCAGCTAGAGGGCAAACACTTTGCAAAAGCAGAGGTTTCCATCTTCTGTGAACTTTCACGTGGATTCCCGTTGGAAGTGTGGTCCAGATGTAGCTTTTGGTACCACTGCCTCTAGCTCTTAGGTGTTAGTTTAGTTTCTAACTTGAGATTTGTTCTTTTGGATGGAGAGGGTAGCTTTAAATGTTTTCCTCCATCTATGAATGAACAGAATATTATTATTATTATTATTATTATTATTATTAATCTGTGATCTGCCAGACCTGAGGGCTTTAACTCCGGAATTTGGGAGGCAGAGATGTGTGGGTCTCTGAGTTCAAGGACATCCTGGCCTAGTCTACATAGTGAGTTCCAAGCCACTACTACGTAATGACTGCAATAGTGAGACCCTGTCTCAAAACAACTTGAAATTCACTTTTTCTCCCCGTTGGTAGAGTTGTTTAATATCTAATAAATTCCTTTATTTTAGTATTTAACTATGGTAGTTTTAACTTGTATTAGAAAAATTTTCATCAAATAGGATTTTTTTGGGGGGGGGCGTTTGAGACAGGGTTTCTGGCTTTGGAGCCTATCCTGGAACTTGCTCTGTAGACCAGACTGGCCTTGAACTCACAGAGATCCACCTGCCTCTGCCTCCCACGTGCTGGGATTAAAGGCGTGTGATGGTCGAGTAATGTGAAAACTGCTTGGGTGCCCCAAGCGTAGAAAGAGGTGAACAACGGGGTAACCAGGAAATGCCTCCTGAACTGAGTGGAACTGGTGGGCGTTTCCTGGTTCCAGAATCAAGTTGCTAAGGAGTGACCAGCAGGCAGGTGTGACAGAGTATAAGCCGTGTGCCATGGAGTGAGGAGATAGAAGCAGGGGCGGAATTGTACCAGGCCTTGTCCTGCATAGTGTAAGGAAAAAGTGCTATTGGATGCTGCAGAGATGCTGTTGAGTGAGATGACAGGCTCAGCCTCAGGAGGAGAGGAGGTCTCACCAAGGCTGGTGTGGCTCGTTCAGATGGGGTTGTTGTTGTTGTTGTTGTTGTTGTTGTTGTTGGTTTTAGAGAAGTAGCGGTGTAGTACGTGTATTGAAACGAGAGTGGGCAGTCAGTGTTGACCTGGTTTTCGATTGGATTTGACATTTAGAGCAGTTAAACTGATAAATAGTAGAGCAGTTAAACTGATAAATAGTATACAAAAAGAGGAAAGAATTGGTTTCTTTTGAGTCTTTTTTGTTTGTTTCATTTTGAGCTTCCTGAACCTGAGGGGCTTGTGAGACATTTTGGTTAAGATCTAGTAGCAGTTGACATGGGTGTTCTAGAAGTTGAGAGATGTGGCCCAGCCTGGGACGATTTGGGGATCTCTGGAAATCTCTAAAATTTGGAAATTTGGAATCCGGTGTTCCCTGTGGTACCCCCTGAGCTAATTTAATGATACCGTAGATAAATAACCTGGAAGGTTTTAATAGTAACTTAATGTGTGAAAAACTTAATGTATCAAACCTGTGATGTCATAGACGTTCTTGTTTAGGCCAAGTAAACTCTGTGAAAGGGAACTACTGAGTGAACATACATGTAATAAATGGAAGTGGCAAGAGCTGCTGGGACACCATGCCAATGCTAAAGGTTCAGAAAGTGTGCTTTGAGCCGTGGGTGTGGTGGGTAAGGTCACTCAGAGAGTAAGATGAGAAGAAGGGAGTTGACATTTGGGTGGCGGGAATGGAGAAGAAGAGCCCATGAAGGAGACTGAGGAAGAGCAGCCAGACCAGTAGGAGGAGAAGCAGAAGATGGTCTTTGGAGTCCATACGAAGAGTGCTCACAAGGAGGAAGAGGTCCACAGTGTCAAGTAAGTTGTAAGCTGAAAAGTGCTCTTTGGATTTAGTGATTAAGGTAGACTGTTTAGCCGGAACCATCTAAAAATAGGTCTTACAGATTCATCTGCAGTGTTTGTTAATAATAGCTATTATTTATTGTATCTCTTAACATGCCTGGTACCTCGAAAGCGCTTGACATGTATTAGCTGATTAGTCAGGAAGGTAGTATTTGTTATCCACACTTGGTGTGTGAAGAAACTGAAGCACACAAAAGCTCAGTAACTTGTCCAGGATCACACACCTAGGCGGCGGGAGCATCAGGTGCCATTCCAAGAGTTCGTGCTCGTCACCATTTGCCACATTGCCTCTCTAGTCAAAGCAAGTGGAACATTAAGTAACCTGCACCAGCATTGTAATCACAGTCCAGTTGTTGCTGTGTGAGTTATCTTAAGATCTGATAGACTTGAATGACGAGCATCATGTTAGAAGCTTGAGTCTGCCAATTGTATTGTAATCTACACCATGGTGCTGACTTTGTGGGTTATGACAGTTTTTGTCTCTTTCTGTATTTATAGTAAAAAAAAAAAGTGAAGTATGTATTTCTGAGGAAAACATATATTATGTGCCTTCTTTTGGGTGCTGTGGTGTCTTATTTTTTCCAGCTATTGTGTAAATTCCTTAAACTCTGGCAGTGTTGTTCATGCAGAAGTGGTAAACTTCTCAGGTGTTACAGGTGATTGTTCTATTGTAGGTGTCATTAGTGACTTTATTAAAAGCAGTTTCCTTCAAATGGCAGAAATGGAACCAAATTGCAGGAAACCAAAAGTGAGTGAAAACGGAGGACTCTGGGAAAACAAGGAAGATTTCTGGCTAGGTTGAAGAATGGGAGGCAATGGGAAAGAAGACAGCTGTGAAGAAGGTTGCTGGTGTGGCCAGAGAGGGCTGGCTCAGAGTGAGGGTTTGAGACGGGCTCCGACGGTAGACATCGGAGTGAGAAGGGGCCCTGGGGAAAGAGGGGCCTTGTGAGGTAGGCAGTCACGTCCGTGTCAGTTAAGAAGGCGTCATCTGCCTAGGCCTTCATGTGGCTGGGACAGTGCACTTGGAAGAGGGAATGCTGATTGCCGGTGAGGAAAAGTAGCTGTAGTGAATTACTGTGTGTGAGAGAAGAGATCGTGAGCCCAGAGGACTGGGTGTGGATCTTTCCTCACTTGGTGACCTTGAGCAATTCACTCAATTTTACTCAAGTGTTTCTGCATTTGTACAGTAGAGACAGTGACATGAGTCTACTGTGAAGAGTTACTGTCATACTCAGTACAGTGTGTGTGTGTGATGTGCGGTGCTTATAGTCACTGAGGAAGCTTGCTCTGCACCTTTGGTATTGTGAGGTTTCCACAAGTCAAACTGAACGAACTGCTGGATGGCAGAGAGAGGTGTGTATTCCACTGTCTGTTTAAAGGTAAACTTGACAGAGGAGGGTGTTATGATGGTGCTGGTGATGGAAAGAAAAGAGTGTGATTACTTATCAAGAGCTAGAAGTCATGAAATGCTGAATTTTCAGTGATATTGTAGCTCTAATCCGAAAAATCCTCGTTCCTGAACTTTGTTGGGGGGAGTAGCCTAAAACTGTAGAGTAGTTTTCCTCTCCCTCCACTGAAATGCATATTAAAGTATCTTTTGCTAAAGTGAAGGCAGACTCTCACTTGCTGTCCTCACAACAAGGCTATGCTTGTTGTAGTTGAGAGTACAAGCGGGAGTCTTGGGATGGTATGTCTGGATGCGGTCATGGAGTGCAAGCAGAGAGTCCCGGTGAGCCACTCCAGCTTTGCCCGAGACAGAGACCCACTGAGAGAGGAATAGGGGTTCGGGACATGTGGGCAGCCAACTGAGTGGTCTGTCAGAGAGTCAGGGTGGTTGAGAATGTAGAGTTTGTGTGCTGTGAAGTGGCGTATTTGAGGTGTGCCATGTGGCCGGAAGGGAAGTACACGGCAGGAGATGTCTTTACACTCGGCAGACACTTTTTAAAGGTGCAGTTCGCTAGGCACATACAGGATAAGAGGCTCTTAGTTGTCTTCTACCCAAGGGAGACATGTATTCCGTGAGTTCAGAGTAGAGCTGGTGAATATGTTTGGAAAAGTCCGGGGGATTTGGGATGAGACTCACAGACCTAGTGTTGTGATTGGAGTTGCTGCCTTAGGGTACAGGCCCCCGATACTTTTCTGATGAACCATGGGGGAACTGCTGCCGCTCCTCGTGTTATCTTAAGCGATAGTTGATCTGAGTGTGTGTTGTCTCCTTAGGACTGTGCACCATGGATGATTTTGCTGAGGGAGACTTGGCTTTGGCAGATGACGCATTATTGGAAGGGTGCCCTTATGAGGACGACTGTGTCTGTGCTCCCGACTTTACCACTGATGACTATGTCCGAGTGACCCAGCTTTACTATGATAGAGTGGTAAGTAGGCTTGCCTACTTTGTGTTCAAAGTGCTGTGTCCCAGAGGCTGTCTGAGCAGGGCTTTTGTGGCTCGAGTGTGGGCAGGAGGTACCCATGCCTCTGAGCGAGCGGGTGAACCCAAAAGGGGGGGCGTGATGCGGAGTGGAGGTAGGAAGTAGTTATTTTGACTGGAGATGAACCAAGCACTTGAGGAGAAGCTGTAGGAACAGATGAGAGTGCCCCAGAGGAGTGCAGAAAACGCAGTCAGACATGCTTGCACAGTTTACTAGATAAAAATCAGAATAATTTTCTTCTTTTAGGGTATGCAATATAAAGATTATGCCCAAAGTGAGAAAAATTTAGGTGAGTATATTAACACTTTAATGCTAATTTGTTGAAGATTCAAGGGATGTCTGTCCATCTGGCCATAGCAGCATAATAATTTATCTTTTAAGATGTGTTTTTAGCTTGGTTTGGTGAGACAGGCCTGCACTTGGGAAGGAGGTTGAGGCAGAGGGATTGGAGTTCAAGGCCAGCTTTGATCAACATGCTGAGACTCTCGTCCTAGACTAGAAACTGTAATCGTTGTTAGCTAATTCAGCCAGTTCTTAAATATTCTTAATATCTAATAGATTAAATATTTTAGTTTTTACCTTTTTATATCTACTTTACTTTTTCCCTATAATGGTATTGATTCATTTGAAAATACTAATTTTAAACTTTTTAATTTTAATTAAGAATATGACATCTGCAATATATGGTGTAGTAAGCCACTTTCTATCCTGCAAGATTACTGTGACACCATTAAGCTATATATCTTCTGGCCACTTCTTTTTCAACATCAACACAGTTCTATAATATCAAGATTACATCCCTGTGTGGAAGCCACGTAAGTTGCTATGTAATAATAATTTTTAAGAACAATGTGTGATAGCACATTGTACAGTATTGAGGAATGCCATGTACAGTGGGAGGCCTGTGCCTCGTTCTTGAATGCTGTTTGATCTTTTGTTTGTTTAATCGGATAGAAAAAGTAAAGACTTGGGATTTGAATATAAATGAAAAATTACAACATTTTAATGAATTACCTGAATTGTAATAGATGGTAAGATTAATGCTGAATAAAAACAATTAATAAGCTTATTTATAAATATCAGTATTACAGGAGAGGGGAAAAGATAGTGTCTGGTTTGTTTATTGAACACCTGATGTATTGTTACCTAGAATAAAGAAAACGAACTTTCCACAGAGTTTGAATAGAACCATAAAGTTCATATAAAATGTAACATTCAGTAAGTAAGTACATTTGGGATCCTAATCTTTAAAAAAAAAATTGTCTTTAAGCCGTTCTCGTGCCGCTGAGATAAGTTTGAAGAAATTACAGCATCTTGAGTTGATGGAAGACATTGTGGATTTGGCAAAGAGAGTTGCAGTAAGTGGTAGAATGTGGCTCACTGGTTAGAATGTCAATGGATGGGAGCTGGAGACGTGGCTCCCTGGGTAAGAGTGCTTGCTGTGTAGACGTGCGGTCCTGAATTTGGATCCTAGCACCCATGTAAAAATGTGGCCCTGTAGCCTCAGCACGGGCGAGCGGGTGGAGACAAGAGGGTCGCTGGGGTTTGCTGGCCGCCAGCCTACTCCCAGATTCATTGAGAGACTGTTTCACACGTGGAGAGTCCGCCTCTGGCCTCCACCTGTGCGTGTACCACCACACACATGCTCATGCATCAGACATGCATGCACCATACTGAGTTCCCCCAAAACACACAAAAGGATAAAAAAGATGATCAAACAAACACAAGAATGTAAATATATGGTGTTTGTCTCCCAGTTTATAGCAGTTAGCAAGACAGTTAGCAAGCTTTTATTTTTTTGTGTCCATGGAAATGCTCAGTATTGAAGCAATGAGGCCATTATACTGGCTCTGTGGGCCCCAGTGAGTATCAGGATTGCATCTTGCTAAGGAGTAGAATCTGGAACTAACCATAAATGAGTGCAAGCCCTGTGTGTGGAGCCTCTGTCACAGGCTCTGAAACATTTGTATGTGGAGAGTGTCGGAAGACTTGAGGTGTCATTCTGCACTGTGTTGTGGGTCTTCCATATGGTTGTTTTCTTGTTGCAGTTTCGGTACTGTTGTGGTTGAAGCTTATGTTTGGAGAAGGTGTGTGTTTTCTGCTAAAATCAGTTGTAATAGCATACAGCTGACATACACACCTTTATTAAAAGTCTAGGTGTAATGAACTTCAAAAATCTACATTTTATGTTACACGATATATATATATATAAATATATATATATACATATACATATACATATATATGTATATATATATTTGAGACAGGTTTCTCTGTGTAAACTCTCTGGCCGTCCTGGAACTTGCTTTGTGGACCAGGCAGGCCTTGAACTCACAGAGATCCACCTGCCTCTGCCCCCTGAGCGCTGGGATTAAAGGCGTGTGTCACCACTGCCTGGCTTACAGTATACTTTTTAAGTAGAATGTATGGAAGACCATTTCTAAATTGCATTAGGATGGTAAAGGGACAAATTAACCATGTCAGTGTTTGTAGAGTACTTATGTAGAGGAGTGCAGTCAGACATCACTTAGTGATGGGGGCGCAGGCTGAGGACTGGGTCATTAGCTAGTTTCCCTGTTGTGTGAATCTCACAGATTGTATCTAACATTGAGCAAGACGGTTGTCTGAGACTGCTGCCAGTACAATGTGGCATACTATTTTATAGTAATCTCTCCTGATAAGTAGAGGGAGTACTCTAAAGTAATTGTAAAAACTGAATTGCAGTGAATACCAAACCTAGTAAGGTGGCTGTTGGCCGTCGTCAGGTCCTGCGTGGTGTATGCGTGCTGTACTTGCCCAGGTGGTAGTCAAGCGTGAGCACAGGCCCTGTAGTGTAATGTATGTGGTAAGTTTCAGGGTTGTTAGTCTTAGGGAGCTGTGGTCCTGTCTGTGCTTCCTTGTTAATTCAGATGCCAGTGTGTAGCTCATGACTTTTCCCAAAATGTGGGCTTTTGTGTTTTGTTTTCATTAGAAATTCAGTTCCTAGGCTAGGAAGATGACTCAGTGGGTAAAAGTGTTTGCCGTGCGAGTGTGAGGACGGAAGCCTGGATGCTTGGCCCTAATGCAAACAATGGTGGGAAGACAGACACGGGGCCACCAGAGCACGCTGGCCAGCTCCTTATTGAAATAGTGAGCTCTGGGCTCCAGGGAGAGACCTCACCTCCCTGTATAAGGTGGATAGAGGTCAGGGAAGACACAGTTGTTGACTTCTGACCTCTACATGCACACGCGCACATGTACGCAATACACATGCTACTCCCAAAAAGAACTCAAATGAAAGTGACAGAATAAAGGAAAATGTGTGGTTTTTGTTCTTTTTTTATTTTGCAGAATGATTCATTCCTTATTGAAGGCTTATTGAGAATTGGTTATAAAATAGAAAATGTAAGTGTTAAAAATGAGACCCCAGCACACCCATTGCAAGTGAGTGATAGTCTGTCTCCTTGCATGCTCACAGTTAATGAATGACTCCCTAGCCCAGCCTTTTACATGTAGTATTTGTTAATACCAGTTTCTGTGTATTATAAAAATAACCTTATTTTATAGACTGAACTCTTTTTTTGCCATATATATAGTATAATTTTAAGACTCTCGCAATTTACTCATTTTGTCTGTAGATTATTTGCTTAATATGTGTTCCTCCAGTGAAATTAAGTCCTTGGTATGAGTTTTATTTTTAAGTTTTTTATAACTGTTAGGTAATGTTCAGGTGCAGAGATAGATAGTCTGTGACGTTACTGGAGACAGGAATGTCTGTATAGTTCCTTCAAGCCAGTATCAGCATTGACCACTCAGCTGCTTAATTTCTGAAGTTACTTCAGGCTCTCTGTGTGAACTCCTGATGCGTAGTACCATTGCACTGATGGCCTGTGTGCCCTGCCAGATGCTTGTCAGGGTTTGCTACAGATCATGTGACACTGTTCTGAACCCTTTCCTGTGCCTTGAGGCTTGTGACCCGAGAACCCTCATCTGCGTTCTCCTGCTACCTCAGCAGCCCAGGGTGTAGACCTCAAGGTCCATGCCTGTAACCATCGCAGAAACACTCTTGATCTGTGAGAGTGGCCTAAGGGAGTTCCCATGACTGTTCTTAACAGTCTAGCTGTTCTCCATTACATGACAGAGTAATGAAAATAAGTACGGAGTTTTTAATAATGATTTGGAATACTGTAGAACGTAAATTCCTCATGCCACATAAATTTAGAATACCCACATCCCTTCTTTATTCCTCTTTTGAAACAGAAAATCTTGGCAATGGAAGAAGCTTTAAATTGGATAAAATACACAGGTGATATAACAATTCTACCTAAATTAGGATCAGTTGACAGTTGCTGGCCCATGTTAAGTATTTTCTTTACTGAATGTAAGTATAAATGCTTTAAATGTTGAGTGTGGTTTAAAGAATATTGTTTGGGAGATGGGATGGGTATAGATGATACTTGATTTGTCTTAGAAATAGTTACACTGTTTTTCTTCTGGTATAAGGCCCAAATGAGAGGATTTTAGCATGGCAGTTCGTTGATTCTTGTCTCACTGGTTCTGTGGCATTATGCTCTTAAAGCTACTGCTTCGTAGTTGTCACGGTGTTTTATATGACACTCACAAGGAAGAGCCCACAGCTGGGATTCTCTTGTGTTGTCGTTCATCAGAGAAGGCGCAGATGCCAACACGATTCTCATTGTCCTGACACAGCTACTTGGATGTAAGATGGAACTGCCTGCCTTACGTTCACTTTTAAAGGTGTTTTACTGTAAATGCTTACAGTCAGCAGGGTTTTTATGAGGACAGGGAACATTTGGCCCTGCAGTAGATGGTGAGCAGAAACTTGCCACCTCCGCTGAGAACAGTATATTTTGTCAGTTGGTTAAAATGCTGTAAGTTAATAGAGACAGAACTTTCTGGTCGGGTTGTTGGACACCACGGTGTGTTACATCCAATGTGTTGAGAGTTTTGTTTGCATCATAGTTTTGGGGGCTTGTAATTACAGGGAAGGGCACCAGTGAGGGCTCATCACTGAGGGTCTCTCGTGTTCTACAGGCTGGTGTAGTTGTTCTTGCTTTCAGTAGTAAAGTCGGGATTCGAGGGTTAGATCTGTGGCTCTCAGCTGGCGGGGTTTTGACCCCTTTGGGGTCCAGTGATCCTTTCACAAGGATGGTCTTAAGGCCATCTGCATATCCCACGTTTACATTATGATTCGTAACAGTAGCAACAGTAGAGTTACGATGTAGCAGTGAACATAATGTAATGGTTGGGGTCACCACACAGTGAGGAGTTATATTAATGGTCACAGCACTAGGAAGGTTGAAAACCCCTGGGTTAGATGATCTCCTTCAGTCTAATGAGCACTAGAATCTAGGCAGGAACGCACTCACTCTGGTGACCCTCCCAGATCTAGCTTGAATCTTAAATGTTAAGTATTCCCTTAAATCTTGGAAATTAATGATTGGTTAGATAGAAGCTTAACTATAGTTTTGGTGTAGTAAATTTTTAAATCAGATTTTAAAAATCCTTATATCATATCTTAAAGTGCAGAAAATAAGGCTTGATAACCTGTGATCACAAAGTTTATTGGATTTTTATTAGTTTACTAGGTTCCTTTTAGAATAATATTTCAAATAATTTCTCACTAACTTTTTTTTGTGAAGTCAAATGTTAAATAAAGCCTTTTAAATACTTCATTTGTTACAGTAGGTACATTTTAGAAGTAGTTTTCCAAGTTTTTATTTTTACACGTTTTTATTGGACATTCTGTGTGGCTCATTAAAAGTCCTCGAGACTGTTTCTTGACTTGGCTTTGGTAATTTGGAGCCCTAATCAAGCAAGTTATGAAAGAAGGGAGAATGCCACTCCAGTAAACAACAAAAATTTAATCGCCAGTAATAAAAGCAGATTTTATTCACAAAAGCATTGACTGTTTTTCTTTTTTTCTTTTTATTTTTTTGCCCGTATTGATTGATAGAGGACGAATGTGTTAGGTGATTTTATTTTTTTGCCCGTATTGATTGATGGAGGACAAATGTGTTAGGTGATTTTATTTTTTTTGCCCGTATTGATTGATAGAGGATGAATGTGTTAGGTGATGCTGCAGACACTGAGCTACACCCCCAGCCCCAATATGTTGTCCTTTACATATTTAATATATATGTAAGATCACAAAAACATAGACTATTTAAAACGTTTAACAGTAAAATGAACATAGTAGACTTACCTATTTAACCCAAGAATTAGAATATCACCAATACCAGTTTAAAACTAATACTTCCTTTCTCTTTCTCCCGATACAAATCTCAGATAAGTACCATATTACTAAAGTCGTAACTGAAAATTGCAACTTGCTTGAGGAATTTAGAAGGAACAGTTGTATGCATTGTGTGAAGGTAAGGATACTTACCTGTAAATATTTTAAGATTTGTCTGTTAAAACATCTAATAGGCATGAATCATAAAACTGTAGAAAAATAATGGATCTACTGTAAAATAACATGCCTATGGGAAACTTTTAAGGAGTTTTGATTTAGAATATTTTTAAGAAGAAATACTATCTTAATCAAAAATTTCTACTGATTTAAAAATCAGATTTTTTAAAAAAAATCAGGCATGTAATACATTGAAGAATATACCATCTTAATCAAAAATTCTATTGATTTAAAAATCAGATTTTTTTAAAAAAAATCAGGCATGTAATACATTGAAGAAATATGATTTTTCTTTGGTAATATCCTTATTGAGATATAAACCATATATCACAATTCACTCAGAGGAAGTACTGATTCCTAACTCAAGTTTAAAGAAAATATTTAGGAGATGTTTAATGTTCTATAAAGTTTTATAATTAAAGCCACTGATAATAGTTTTCATTAATTAAAAGTATGAGTGTCTACAGTAAAAAAGTTTGGTTATACATGTAGCATCTTTCATATATATTCTTGCTGACCTGTGATGCTATTCTTAGCAGTTGTCATCATTGTTGTGAGTTAATGATTTATATCTGTGATTTATATATATATATATCTACATCTCTGTATATCAAGGATTACTGGGTAATACTATACTTGCTAGAAGCCCAAAGCTACAGTATACCATGTGTCTCAGTTTTTGACCACTCTACTTTATGGATGAATTTTTTTAAATGTATCTATTGTAAAAAACTTTATACAACAGAAAATTGTTTTATTAATTATTTATGATATATTGGTTTTAGCTTCAGGTTCAGTGAGAGACCCTGTCTCAAGGGGATAAGGTGGAAAAACATAGCGGAGGACAGCATGCATGTACCCGCCTCCACATGTGTATACATGTGAGCTCAGACGCACCCACGCACGCACAGGCAGTAACAAACACATGTACCTGTCCTTTGCATGGTTGCATAGGGACATGTGCACACACACCTCCCAACACATGTACACAGATGCATACACGGCACAGAGATATCAAACACACGCTCATCTCCAGACTCCTTATGATACCCAGCATAAGGTAGAGCTGTGTGTGTTTGTTGTGCTGTATTTTAGGATGATGACAAAAAAGCACATATGTGGTACATTCTTTCCCCAGGCACTTTTTATCTGTGCAGGTTTGCAGATGGAGAAACCATGGATATGGTTTATGTACTAGTTGAATATATCAAAACACTAGAGATTACATTCTCGTTTTCTGTGTAAATATGACCCATGGTTCCCTAACAGCAAGTACAGAAACCCAAACCCGCGTCTCCTGGGTGTTGGGCTCTCGGTTGTCTTTGGCGGTAACTGACCCGTCTTCTTTCACTTTGGTTTCTCAGCAAGGAGAGCTAATGAAAATGAGAGGAAATGAAGAGTTTTCCAAACAAAGATTTGATCTAGCTGTCATTTTTTACACCAGAGCCATTGAATATAGGTAAGAGCAAAGTAGAACAGTAAAAATAAAAGCCTTTTATGTGGCAGATCAAGTTAGAATGTCAGGAGAAGTAGCCGCAAGATGAATTGTCGACTGTCTTCCACTTGCCAGGCAGAGCAGTTTTCTCCTCTGTAGGTATTGGCAGCAGTGCTGACAGCCTGCGCATGTGAACCAGCAGGTGTCTGGGGCAAGACAGTGAGTTTCTCGCACTCTGCTCTGTTTCCCACAGACTCACTGGAGCCACCTTCCTGCTCTTTTCCTTTTGTGTCAGCTATTCCTTCTATACTATGAACAGACTATAGGGAGCGGGTATTTGTTCCTCATTCTTAAGATGTCTAGGAAGCCTTGCTTTCTTGGGGGAACTTTTGTTTGTTTTGAGGCAGGCTTTCCTTGAATAGCCTTGACTGTCCTGGAGCTCACTGTGTAGACCAGGCTGGTTTTGAACTCAGAGATCCTCCTGCCTCTGCCTCCTGAGTTCTGGGGGAACATTACAAAACATTAGTTGTTGAGAGGTTAGATGCCTGAAGTCTCAGCACGCGTAGCTTAGAGGCTGGATCTTCATGGCTTCCCTCCAGTTGTGTCTTGCTCATCGGAGCTGGGCCACCGTACAGTTCGCAGGGTTGGGGTGCCCTGTAGACTGCCTCCTTTCCTACTCTGTAGTTCACGTGGATTGAGGGAATCCACTTGCATGTTATACCTGGAAATATCCATCTGTTACTATTGCTGGCACTTTTTTTTGTTATGTTTTGCTGTCACATTTTACAAGTTGCTTTTGTCTGAGTCACCAGTGTCACCGTCCCGACTGACATAATTCATCTTGTCTTCCACAGTTACATACTTTGTAGTTGGCCAGCTTTTTTATAATGGTGTTATTACCCAGTTTTCACTGTAGTCTGAGAGATAGATGCAGCAGTAATTACCTTCATTTCTTTTGAACAAGGTACTGAGAATGTAAAAAATCTGGATTTCAGTCAGTTAGGGTTCTAGATCCTGTATTGTTCCGGTTCTGCCACACAGCTGTAAAGTTTTAGGAACATTTTTTTTTTTTGTCTTATGTTTTTAGTATGATTTGTAAAGTTTATTTCAGATATAATGTGTTTTACTGACTAAATGTTACTTCTCTTTAAGACCTGAAAACCATCTTCTTTATGGTAACCGAGCTCTCTGTTTTCTTCGTATGGGACAGTTTCGGTAAGTTGGTTAAAGTGATCAAGTACTGAATTATTATGCCCAGTACCGATTTCAGGGAAACATTTATATCTTGCAGGTATTCAAGAAAACCCCTGATATTTCTTTGTCTGAAATAGTTAAATGGGTAAAAGAATTGGTTTCATTTATAATGACTGAGCAGAATACAAGCATTTGTCACACATTATTTTAAATACTTGACATGTTAAGTCTCACAGCACCCTTAGTAGGCATGTTACGTTATTTTCCACATCTTACTCATGGACAGTCCCTATAGCTAGTGAGTCAGGTGATGCTAAGATTTAGACACAGATCATGCTGACGACATCTACATTTCATAACTTTTATAATACATTCCGTCCTTTTGCTCTATCTAATCTGCATAGTATATTTTTTTGCTGTTTACTTTGTCTTGTTATATAAAATTAAGTAAATATCTTCATAAGTGAAATAATGCATAGAAATTTAATGGTGTTAATGGAATAGAACTGTAATTTACTTCCTTATATTGAATTTGAAATTTGCTTTTGAGTTGAGAAAGACTGAAAAAAAAAAGGTACTCTACTGTGATTTGATTGTCCTTCATTTAAAAAACTTTTATTAAACAATATAGATTGCTGTATTCAGTTATGCCCTGCTTTATTGTAAGTGGGTGGGTCTGAAATACAGAGGAAGATAAAACATACAGAACTAGAAAACCAAGTTTGAGCCTGGGACCCACAGAGCAAGGCTGCCTGGCCAAGGTCTTACATTGATACTAGTTATAATTTATTTTTGCCTTTGACTTTCTGTTGCCTAAAATAAAAAAGGAAAACTTGAAAAGTCATGAGATTCTCATTATTCATAAAGAAAAATTTACAGCAGTTGTTTGGTTGAAAGTGGTTTCCTCATGTTTAACCTAGAAATTATTATATGGATCACTACTAATGTTAACTACGTGATAGAGAAAAATTCCAGAAACAATGGTAGGGAAATCACTGAAAAATGCAGTTTGGGGTTCCACAAGTAATTTTTTCTTTGAAATCATGAAAACTGAGAAATCCCATGTCAGTTGTTTTTAGTAAAGACACGTATTTGGGGTTGTGGGAGAGGGGGAGTGGGGAAAGGTATAGTGTCTTCCAAGTGTGTAGCTTTAAAAAAGTAACATTTATTGTGTTTCTCTTTTATTATAAACAGAACACATTCTCATGGTAGAAAATTTGGAAAATACAAGAGTTTAAAAAGAAGAAAATAAATATCACCAGTAATCCAACCACCTTGGAGAATACCGCTGTATTAACCTTATGCAGCTTTAGATGGCTTAAGCCGTGGATAACCCGAGGCTTTCTAGACTAGAGGAATGGATGGGCTTGACACAGTCTTCCCTCAATATCACTGTGCTCAACTGGTTCTGACAAGAAATGAGCTACAAATGTCTAGGTTATGGTTTCTGGCCAGGTCCAGAGTTAACAGATTATCTGTGTTGTTTGAAGGTGAATTTGTATGCTTTCAAGACAGATGAATAGGTTTATGACTTGGGTAGGCTCTTGTGAAAATTGAGGTATCTAACTGAAGTCTTGCCAGGCAGAGGGTCGTCTACTCTCCAGCTCCGAGAGCTGAGAGGCAAACTGGGGTGCCTCTGCTTTTATGAGTATTTGAAAGATAGACACATGAGGAAGATCTTCCCAAATGCCCTCTGCAACAAGAGGTGAGAGCAGAAACAGCCTGCAGATAGCGTGAGGTGACGGTTGAGAGCAGAGCTGTGGGCCTGCCCATGCACACGTTGGCGCTCTGGCTTGTAATTGAACACATCTGGTGTCAACACAGGCTTAGTGTACCTGAGAGTCCCTGGCTTTTATCAGGCAGTCACCACCATGTGTCTGATGCCCTTTAACATATGAAACTATGCCACACTGCTTTTGCTGAGGCCTGTCACTTCTCACACAGTGCTCACACGACATGCTCAGTGATGTAGAGATGAGGCTTTCAGGGTCTGTACCTCCTGACGCAGGGAGTGGATGGTATGACAGGGCTCTGCTGCCATGTGCCTGGACATAGTGCTATTCCAGCTCTGAGAACTTCTTTAGCTGGATTACCAAGGCTGAGATGGTAGTTCTCACTTCAAGTGAATGCCAGCTACATCTGTCATGGGGATCTGGTCAAGCAGCTTCAGGGATAGCTGGGGATAAAGTGTCCACCAGCTGACTCTGGGAGACAATTTAGTCCCTTTTTGTTCTCAAGGCCAGGCTTCTATTTATTTTAAAAAGCAGACATCAGACTGAAAGAACTAAAACAGAAAAAGGTTAAAGGTTTGAATGAATGCTAAAACTCAAAGTGACTCTGAAGTAGTTTAATCTTAAAATATTAGAAAATGAGAACATTCAGTTTAAAAAATAACTTGTTTATTTTTAAACCCTGCCTCGAAAAACCAAAAAAAAACCCTTAAGTAAAAATATGTACATTGACTCTTAGGACAGGCTCCATCCTGTGTACTTTATACGTCTTTATTCCTAAAATGCTTCCCAACCACGGGAGGTAGTTGCTGCTGTCTCTTTCACATGAGAAAACATGTGCTGTGAGGCCCAGCACTTTCAGGAGTGCTTAGACAGTGTGATGCAGACAGCACTGGAGCCCAGGCTGCCTGGGTGTGGTCTCTCCTGGCCACCACAGGAAAGGCCAGCCGAGCACAACAGGGATTCGAATGCTGGAAACATTTTAAAACAAGTGACCAGACAGTCACACATTTATGAGGACCTGCTGACCCTCGCATAACGTGCAGATTAAAAACTACAAGCTTTCCTTTCGTACCCGTCAGATTGGCACAAACTTAAAACCTCATAGAATCAAGTGTCTGAGAGGATGTGGCACAAAGGAGACTCACCCTCGGCTGGAGAGAGTGTTCATTGGTACAGTCACTGTGGAGAGCAGTCTGAGGAGGGGAAGATGTGCACACTGAGTCTTCGTCTAGGGTCACGCCTCCCCAACTGTCAGATGTGTGCCCAAGAAGACATGTGCAAGCCTTCATGTAGCATTGTTTGTTAGAGTTAAGACATGGAAACAACGCCATGTCCGTCAGGAGGGGAATGGATGAGTCAATTATGGTATATTCATACAAACATGCTTTGCGCAGCACCTAAAATGAGTGCGATGTTGGAGTGTCAAGCAAGTTGCAGAATGATTTGTACAGTGTGATGCCTTTATATACTGTTTAAAGTCATGCAAAATAATGTGCATATTTATATTAATATGAAGTATGAATTTCAAGTGTTTTTAAAATGTGTGAACATGTTATATACCAAATGATGAGTGGCTATCTCTGGGAGAGAAGGTGGGGAGAGGGTTGGGACTTGGGAGAGGAGGTATGGTGGGAGTCCGTTGTAACAAACCTGCAAAACAGAACCGGGGTGAATATGAGACTATGTTCCTTTGTTGCTAAGTTGTTACATACGTGTTCTTCATGTTAATGTTATGTTCTCTGCATTGCATATGCTTGACATATCTGATAAAAAGTAAAGCAGGTACAATTTAAAATGCACATAAAAGGAAGAAACCGGGGGTGGGGGTGGGGGTGGGGGACTGGGAAGCTGCTGCTCCGTCCCAAAGTGGTTGAGGAATCCGTGGTGGTTATGGTGTTGAAGTAGACAGATCGTCACTCAGAGAGACCATTGAGAGGTCACAGGTGATGCCAAGAGCCAGTACAGGCCCCTCTGGGCTGGATATTGTACACACCAAGTAAAGAGCTGGGAGCTGCGCCGTTCCTTTTCCTCAGACCGCACTGCTCAGTCTTCTCCCTTGGAATCCTCGGGGCTTAGGAAATGTGTTCCGTGAACCCAGGACTCCTGGCTTGGATGAGATTTTATTTTAGTGTGGTCTTTCAGAAGCACACTTTACAATATTCATCTTGAAACCATAGGGCATTGTAAGACTGATAGTTGTAACTGAAGTAACCAGAAAATTTCAGGTTTACGTATAGGAAAAGGAATCAGACACATCTAACCTAGGTGGTTACAAAGCTTATGTAATGTACACGAGTAGATTTTGCCCACTCTGTCTCACTCACCTTTGGGAAATTTGAATTTTTCTCGGGGTATAATGAACATTGCTAAGGGGAAATGTAACTGTCGGTGGGGGACGTGTACCTCTGAATGTTCTAATTTGGTTTGAGAAATCTTTAACCTTTCATATTTAGTTACCTATCTTGTAGTCTTCCTTTCCATCAGACCCAACTATGATTTGTACAACAGAGAGACTTTAAGTTCTGTCGGTTTGTTTTCTGAATTTCTAAGATCAGAGATATGGCAACTTCACCATGCTTCTGTGAGAATTACCCCCTTGAGTGAGAGAGAGAAGGAGAGAGGGAGATTGAGCACTTCTGTGAGGGGCCCCAGGTTTAGTTTTAGGCTGTGCTATTTGAATTACTCCTAGTGGTTCCCTCTTAGTTGCATGGTCTGTTTTTATTTAGAAGCACTGAATTTGTTCTTGAAGAAAACATAATTGCCAGTTGTTTGGGGGTGTACTCCCTCTTAAAAAGATGGAATTTTGTTTTACATGTACAAATGTTTTGCTTAATTTATGTGTGCACCATGTATACATAGTGTCCATGGGGGCCAGAAGAGCCTGTCAGATTTCCTGGGAACTGAACCCAGGTCCTCTGCAAGAGCAGCAAGTGCTCTTAACCACCGGGTCATCTCTCCAACCCCACTACGCCCCTCTTTTACAAAGAAGAAGTGAGTGCCTTCAGGGGGGTAATTCTCACAGAACAGAAGCATGGTTAAGTTGCTGTGTCTCTGACTCCAGAAATTCAGAAAACAAATCAGGGTTCCCCGACAGCTCTCATGTGGTTGTTGGTTTCCCAAGCTCTTCAGATCCTGTGTGTTCCCATCACACCTCATGTCTGTAGACTACTCGTGTTTTATATATCAGAATATTGGTAATTTGAGATGATCAGTTAGACATAGCCTTTTAAAAATCATGAGTGAAAAAAATACTGTGTATGTTGTTGTATAAATGCTTTTTAAATGTTG